ATAAAGAATATCTCTTCGGATTTGAGACTTTAGTCTTTGTAACTTTACAGATCTTCTTTATGCACCAAGAGCTTGTAACACTCCAAAGAGAAAGGAAAAATTTAAATTGCATCATATGACCCCTTTAAAACCCTTAATTGTCATGTTATAGTGGTAAAAATGAAAAGCAAATGTCAACAAACCTCAAAATTAAAAAAGACTATCATATTAAAAATATTAAAATACTTAATATAAAAAAGAAATACGTGTTATAAAAAAGATAGATATATATATATATATATATATATATATATATATATATATATATATGTATGCATTTATATATATAACCTCAAAATGAAAAAGATACAAATATAAAATATTAAAAGATGTAATATTATATAATACAATAGAATTGTAAATGAAATTGTAAATAAATATATAATATATTAATAAATTACAGAGATTAGTTCGTTTGGCTTGATTTATCCTTATTGATTATATATAGTGCTGTCAAACGATTAATTGCGATTAATCTCATCCAAAATAAAAGTTTTTGTTTACATAATATATGTGTGTGTACTGTGTATATTTATTATGTATATATAAATACACACACATGCATGTATATATTTAAGAAAAATATGTTACTTTTATATATTAAATATGCTTATATATGATATAATTTATATCAATATAATTATATACACGTAAATACATGTAAATATTTTCAAAATATATGCTGTATGTGTGTGTATTTATATATACATAATAAATATACACAGTACACATACATTTATTGTTATATTTTTATAATATTTTATTTTATATATATAACTTATTTTTATTTTTATAAAACTTCCTTTAAAAAATCCTAGAAAAAACTCAGGTAACAGGGTTGAATGTTTGAGCTTGATGAATGCGGTCCATGTTAAAATATTTATAAAAATGGATTGAAATTCTAAATTATAATAATAGAAATTTTTTTTTTTTAAATAAATTTGTAAATGTAGTAATTTACAATTTTATTCATATTTATATAAAGGCAATTAATTAATTGTAATATTTTATTTCTGTTATTCACACACACATACATATGAAAATTATTTGTAAAAAAAATATATAATGCAATTAAATTAATAATTTGCTTTATGAATGTCTAAATGTATTAATTTACCATTTTTATTTACAAAAATTGTATTAATTATCGACTTAATTATTTATAAATAATAAATACATAATAAAATAACAATAATATGAATTACATGTTTGTGCCTTTACATGTGAATAAAATAGTAAATTACAACATTTTACTACATTTACATATACATATTTAAAAAATAAAATTTCCTGAAAAAACCTTGGGTAACAAGGTTGAATGTTTGAGCTTGATGAATGCGGTCCACATTAAAATATTTATAAAAATGGACTGAAATTCTAAATTATTACGAATTGAATATCAGATGTTGTCAAAATTACGAGGTTGTATCATTTTAATTATTAGATAAAGTATGTCTGACTTCTGAGGTGGGACAGGCTGAAATCATTATTTTAAGGAGGGATACAGACATTTGATTTGTGTAAAACTAGTTTTATGTCATGTAATAGTTCAAAAGTCATATCTAATTAAAAATAAAACATGGGATGTGTGCCTCTAATGCTTTTAAATATGCTGTGTTACTCCAAGGTGGACTTTATTCATGGAAAGTGTCTTGATGATTATAACTTTACTCCTGTGTGGCTTCATGTTAGCATTTTCACATTTGTGTGTTATACTGGAATAATTAAACAAGTTTGGTTGAACTCTCTCACAAAGTGTGTTCGGTGTTGAACGAGAGCTCTCATAAAAAGAAATCCCTGCAGATCTCTGTGGTACCAAATAGCCTGATCTCCAGTGAACGTCCTGTTTGAGAAATCTGGTTCATTCAAAGCTTAGTTAAAAAAGAATTACCCAGAATTCAAACATGTCAAAATGCCCCCAAGAACGATCCAAATAATGTGTTTGGGAATCTGCTCAAGGCATCGTATTGTGCTTGAAATATTAAGCGCGCACGAGTTTGTCTTTGCGTTTCCTCTTGTAGAACAACGGCGGATTGTAGACGTTTGAAATCCGGAGCATGTTGTGTGGATTTGGAGCTTTTCGCACAGGCAGTGTCAGGCTTGGCTGAGTCACTGATTCTACATCAGGGTTTATCAGCTCTGTTGTGAGCGTTCAGCCTGACTGAGTGTTTGTGTTTGAAAAGGATCTTTCACAGGAGAGTTTGGCTTCAGAATGGTTAATAAGCTGGTGGAGAGATCGCTGTTTGGGTAGGTTGACGTCCAGAGGATCGGTTCTCTGAGTTGGTACATTTCGGACGTAATGAATCTGGAATCTGTGGGATCAGTGTTAATTAATAGCATCTGATGTTTTGGGTGTTTGGGTGGGAAAAGTGGGTCCAGCGCTAATGAATCTTGTCTTCTGCCAATTTTGACCTCGTTTAGAATCCATTAGGGTTGAAGGAATGTTCCAGGTTGAATATAGCTGAAGCTTTATGAACAGCATCTTTGATGTGGTGTGTGCAGAAAATTATTCCACCTCGTCCTTCAGTTGGTAGAAACTATAAGATAGTAATGCATAGAACATATGTCATTTTAAAAATACATTTCTAAAAGTATTAACTACTTTATTTATATTATCTACACACACACACACACACACACACGTAAACGGTCATACAAATAAAAACATTTTTTTTTAATTGCTAAATGTAATAATTTGCTATTTTATTATATATGTATATCTAATCAAATAATTGTGTATATATGCATTTATTTATATGTAAATAATATACATAAAATAATATATAATATTTTTAAATACATTTGTAAATTAATTTACTATTTTATTTATATTATTTACACATGTATATGTACACATATTTTTCTGAATTGCTAAATGTAATTACTATTTTATTATATATGTATATCTAATAAAATAATTGTGTAATTACTATTTTATTTATATTATTTATGTAATTGTAATGTTTAATATATTATTCATATACACACACACACACACACACACATTTATTAAAATGACATGTAAATAATATAATGTCGTTAAATTAATTATTTGTTTAGTGAATGTCTAAATGTAATAATTTACATTTAATATAAAAGTATTTATGTAAAAACATTGAATTATATGTGTGTGCATATGTATTTATATGTATATGTATGTATTTATATATTATCAAATGTATTTTTTTTATTTGTATTTACATAAAAAAATATTTAAACAAAAAAGTTTGCAATTCTGCAAAAGGCAAGTTTGTAAAAAGTGATTTTCTTGCTTATGAACTATGTAATGCAATATACATCGTATTTTTACAGTCACGAAAGTTGGTAGAACTTCAGTGTCTGGATCTTTTAATTAAAGTAGTTGTTGTGTGTTTGTCTGGCAGTGTGGTGTGTGAAATCGGACCGGCGAAACTCTACAAAACCGGAGAGGTGGAAATCGAGGTGGGCAGAGGAAAGAAAGGCATATCCACAAAAACGGTCCGCTTCACCTACAGGGTAAGTCACGATTCTGCATTACCCAGCATGCACTGCCCACGCAGTAATTGAGTGAAACTCTGCTGCTGTGTGAGTCCACAGGAGCGTCTCTCTGCGTGCAGCATGTAATGCTGGGCTGTTTTGTGTGTGGCCACTGGTCTTGTGCTCCTGCAGGCCTCATAATTATAACCGCTGACGGCTTTAGCAGGGTTTATTGCATCAGTTTTCAGGGAGATAGGCTGTCACAGTCGCTCCCACGGGGAAACGCCGAGGGTGGTGTGTGTTTGTTCGGCAGACTGACGGCTCTCGGACAGCACACAAATGCATTTCCTGGGATTATGTAATCATTACAATAAGATGGTAATGCATGGGACGGCTCTGTCATTGCTGGGTATTTGCAGCTTTTGTGCACATTATTACTTCAATATTACAGTTTATATGAATGAATAATTCATTATTTATGTAAAATCGTGTGTGATATTAGTTTACTAAAATATATATAATGTAATATGTGATCTTTGTCTCTGTAGGACCCTGTAGCACAGAGTGTGTCTCCTGAACGAGGTCCTAAAGCAGGAGGAACCATCCTCACAATCACTGGGATGAACCTGAACACTGCTTCAAAAGAAGACCTTCAAATCATGGTGGGCGATGTGCCCTGCCGAGTGTGAGTGCATCATGGCAAATGTCGTTTCTGTTATTTTCATTGGATTTGCCCTTTTTGGTTCATTTTGTGTTCTTCCTGTCTGTCAGTGAGAGCTTCGGAGAGCGGATCACCTGTAAACTGTCTGAGTATCTGGGCGATACGGTTCCGTCGGCTCACCTCACCTTCAGAGTTCAATACGGCGAACACACCACAACCACCATCAGGACGGCCTTTCAGTTCTCCAACAACCCCTCTGTGTCCGACCATCAACCCAGGAGCAGCTTTATCTGGTCAGTTCTGTTTGTTTCCTTACCCACACAACCATTACATCAGTACTCTCATCTGTACACCGATGAATACTGCTTTTTGCAAGATATTATTGAAATATTATTTAAGTACATGCATTATTTTGTACATCTTAATAATAAAAGAAGATATTTTATTTAATGTAATTAATATGAAAATGTATATAGTGTTGTAAAATAAGCATAAATATGATCAAATGTAGATTTTTTAAAATATATTTTAAATATATAATACATATTTGACTATATTGTATCATATATTGTATTATATATATATATACAGTGGGTACGGAAAGTATTCAGACTCCCTTAAATTTTTCACTCTTTGTTATATTGCAGCCATTTGCGAAAATCATTTAAGTTATTTTTTTTCCTCATTAATGTACACACAGCACCCCATATTGACAGAAAAACACAGAATTGTTGACATTTTTGCAGATTTATTAAAAAAGAAAAACTGAAATATCACATGGTCCTAAGTATTCAGACCCTTTGCTGTGACACTCATATATTTAACTCAGGTGCTGTCCATTTCTTCTGATCATCCTTGAGATGGTTCTACACCTTCATTTGAGTCCAGCTGTGTTTGATTATACTGATTGGACTTGATTAGGAAAGTCACCCACCTGTCTATATAAGACCTTACAGCTCACAGTGCATGTCAGAGCAAATGAGAATCATAAGGTCAAAGGAACTGCCTGAAGAGCTCAGAGACAGAATTGTGGCAAGGCACAGATCTGGCCAAGGTTACAAAAAAAATTCTGCTGCACTTAAGGTTCCTAAGAGCACAGCGGCCTCCATAATCCTTAAATGGAAGACATTTGGGACGACCAGAACCCTTCCTAGAGCTGGCCGTCCAGCCAAACTGAGCTATCGGGGGAGAAGAGCCCAAAGATCACTG